GGGGGTCCCACATGCAGGGAGAGGCTGCAGAGGGCAACCTGATCTAAGGTCATTGCCACCTCATCATTCCAGCTGTGACTAAAGTCTCAGTTGAACTATGCACCTGAACCTTGAGAACTTCATCAAGCTCCTTTTGGAACCTAGTGGGGTCCATTAGACATCTGGGGCAGATTGAACGAATAGGGTTCATTCCCAGTGGAGTCCATTAGCCATCTCTGGGTAGGGAGTAACTATGGAGAGCTCCAAAGCAATCAAAGAGTTATCTCACCATGATAAGGGACAAATATTAGCATCCCCCAAACAGATCATGTTGCCACTGCCCTGAGGGGGAAAAAAAACCAGATCCAATGTGTAACTCTCACTGTGTTAGGCAGTTGATGATTTGTGTCAGGTCCATGCCTGCCATGATGGCATTAACTCCTGAGCCACCTCAGACCACGTACCCAGAAAAGGCACACCTAGGACAAGCCTGGAAAACCCAATGGCCAAACTAGCCACAGCATCAGGTAGCTGTGGGTCTACAACTCCCCAAAAGAAGGTTAGATAAGAAAAAAGTTTAGACACAAATGTTTTATTAGTATCTTTATTTTCAAACCAATATATTCAAAGATACAAATCCTATTAATTTGTTTGTCTAACCTTGGGACCTCTGATTCCAGACTGGGTGAGAGCCAGGTGCAGAATTGGAGGGAGGGAACAAGTGGTTGGAATCAGAGGAATGTGTATAGGAGAAAGGTAGGGTTGGGCTGGAGGATGTATGTTATTCAAATGTGTATTATTTTGATGTACATTATCCGAATATAGCTGCCAGGTATAGTGAGAGTGGTGAAAAGTGATTCTCTGGTGCAAGCCTGGGTGATTGAGCGGGGACTTTAATTAGTCTAGGGGACATTGACATGGAAGTAGTACAGTACTGAAGGGTGGAGGGAAATGGCAGGGGCGGGGGCAGGGGAAGCCATTCCAGGGAAAGTGAAATTTTAAAGTTGGTTTCAATTTCTATTTTAGGCTCCCTAATCTCACCTCATGGGCCAGCATCTGGATTGTTTGGCATCCCAGGCTGAGGCTGATGGTTTTGAATGCCAGATCTATAATCCAATAAAATTATGAATAAGAGGACATGTGCCATAAAAACCTGGTTGGACAAGGAGAAGGAGTATCTCTCACAGATCCATCCAACCAGGTTTCCTGTAGTGCATAGTCATGACTACAAGGCAGGGGAAGTAGAGTGGCAATCATGTACTGAGAGACCATGGCAGTTGTGAGAAGCATTGTTCCATAGGTGGTTGGCTTTGAGGCTGTACTTGTGAGGCTGGGGCACTGCTATCATCCTAATAGTATCCTTTCCTGAGTTATTCAATTACTTTTTAGCGGGGTTGTGGATTTTCCCAGGTGGTTAGTCCTGAGTGATTTTAACTACCCCTACCTAGGTTCAGAGATAGCTTGAGCACTGTTAGCTACCATGACAAATGTGGGATAGTCCCAGATCATCATGGCCCCAACCCATACAGCTGGCTATGCATTGGACCTGGCCTTTATCTCAGACCATATGAGACATGATCTGGTGTTGGGAGAGATTTCCATCAGTCCATTGCCATGAACAGATCAGTTCCTTGTGATCAATGGGTTGACCAGAACCACTAGCCTCCACACAGAAGATATGCCAATTTGGATGGCCTGCCCTAGGGCCTGATGGATAAAGAGGATTTCAACTGAAAGTTACTAAGTGACAACAAAACAAATGGAACAATAACATAAATTCAGTGATATACATTGAGATGATCCAGGCATCTCTCCAACTACTTCATTTCCTAGAGCTCCTCTGAGAACCAGGGAGCCACCTAGGATCAGCTAATGCAGAGAGGCTACTCAGAAGCCCTCCCATCTAGAGCCCTCTGCTCCCCTCCATATTTTACTGGCTAACTAAACAGTCAACAGAATTGTGTTCCAGATCCTCCTTTGCCATCTAGAAACCTCTGGGTCTATTCCTTCACAGCCTAATACATCTTCGAATGTCTGAACATCTTGTGCTTAGGTATGTATGCACAATCATATGTCACTTTCAATGAGTGTGATACTTCCACTCTTTAATGACTGCTCATTAACTAATCCTATAACAATGGCAGGCTTTTCATCAACACTTCAAAATGTTATACTTGACTCTAAGATCATCCACCCATTTTAAAAATATATTGCTTGAGAAGAAAACATGTTTACCTTATGGGTAACTATAGCAGGTTGCAATTAGATATGTGGAGTATCCTGCCTTTAAGCAGGTATTGGGAGAGGTTGAATTATCTTCTGTTGTTCTTGGTACTATTAATTTGCCTAGTAAGCAAAATTCAGCTTCTGAACCACTGTGCTGCTAAGAGTCAAAGGGAAGCTATTAGCCCTAGAAGACACAATTTTCATGAATTGTGTGTATGGAAACCTACATGATTTAAAGGCTGTTTGACTATAATTCCAAAACTGCTTATAGTTAATATTTTATTGGAAGAAGAGTATTTTTCAATTATCATGCCCAAGATTTGTCCTAGTGAAATCTATAGGAAGCATGTCATTGGTTTTAAGTGCCTCAATATCACTATATTGCAGGGGTCTAATGTTGCAAGTTAATCAAATAGGCTGTCATCTGGGATAAGATCCCACAATGTAGTCAGTAAATTAGCCTCACTGAGTGGTGACTCCTATAGCATCTTTATATTCTTCATTAAGTAAACAGCTAATATTTACTAAATTGAGGAAAAATAAAGCAAAGCCTGTTGTAAAAGAGTTACTTGAGAAAATATTTGTCCATTACCTTTTTCAGTACATCAGTTAACTGAAATCAGTTCTAAAATTACATATATCATCTATTTAATTGACATGAAATAGAGAATCTCTTACACCAAGACTGAATAGCTCCCACCTTCCCGAGAGCACTGGGTGCCTACAGAGTTGTAATTTCAAGACATATCATGCACCTTGAAGCAGTGGGGCTCAGCTGATTTTGCTCCTACCTGGCCATTCCCAACAGGAACTGTGAGAGGAATGAAATCTCTGGGATGTTTCAATTTTCTGACAATTCCTTGAAATAGTGGCTCCATGATAGTGGCTTTTCCAGTCTCTCACTTTTCCAGGGGAAAGGCAAAAAAGATGCAGCTCAGGAAGGATGAGGGGTGTCACCTATAGGCCAGGTGAGATCCACAAGTCAGAGATCTGTGTTTTTATACACTGTTCCCGTTGTCTGATTGAACTCAAGAGAAGGAATACAGTAAGCAATCCTGTTTCCTTCTTTCCATGTATTCAGTTGACTCTACAGAGAAGCTACAGGGTTGTCATTTTACCCAGTTAAAGTTCTCTCTCTACTTGGAAATCCTGATTTTTCATGATTTCCTGTCAGAGAAATATAATTACATTCTTTGCTAATTTTTATACAGAATGTTAGTTGTAAAGGGAAGGGGATAAATCACTCTCACAAGTTCAGTGTAAAAGGTCTTATAGCATTTTGCTAGGTACTATTATAACTCTACAAAAGTTGCTCAGACTTAGTGAGCTTAGTACAGAAGCATTTAATATTTTGTTTTGTTGTAATCTGTGATTAAATGACAAGTATGCTACAATATTCCTACATGTGTACTTAGAAAGAATGTCCAATAAACACAGTAGCTTATTTCTAAAGAAACAATAATAGAATCAGACTGCATAAAATTAAGGTTGGGCAGTTTATATAACAATAATAGCTTATACAACATTTCACAGATTTGCATGGTCTTTATTTATATACATAGGTGCTTGGAGTTTGCTTGCCAAAAATGATACTATCTATTAATGTCTGATGTGCTACAGTTCTAGGTAGTCATGTTACATTGCACTGAAAAACTGAAAGACGTTCAGTATCGGCATATGGATTGTTTTCACTGTAATGAACATCAGACTCATAATTAGAAAAAGAACATCTCATTTTTTTTATGGTTTATTGCATAAATCCAGTTATAAGTGACTTAGAACATGCACTCCATCTTAGTGCAAAGTCATATATATTATTATTTCTCTTTTAGGTTATACTCAGCTTTTTTCTGCTCTTGTAAAATGCTGGAAAAGTTTAGGGTAGTTTCTGACACTTCTTCAGACCTCCAAGGCAAGGCAGGTTACATGCTGATTCAACGATGGGTGGGAAGCACTTCAGTTCAGTAGTGGGAACAGCCTCCAAAACTATGGTACAATATTTCAGGATATGGCAGCATTATTTATATATTTTTACACTGATAGTGTAAACAGTTATTTATTTATTTATTATTAGATTTCTATCCCAAATTTATTTTTTACAACTCAAGATGGCATAACATAATGCTTCTGCCTCCTACTTTCCCCACAATAACAGCCCTGTGAGGTGGGTAGGGCTGAGAGAAGGTGTCTTGCCAAAGTCACCCAGCCAGCTTTCATGCCTAAGGGAGAACTAGGACCCAGCCTTCCAGTTGCTAGTTCAGCATCTTAACCACTACACCAAACTAGTGTTGCTTTTGTGTGCTATATTCAGCATAGTTCCTCTACAGTGCCTAAAATTTGAGGTGCTATATAAGACAATATAAGATTGAATTCCAAGCAGCATATCCTGTCTCTGAATACATTGGCTGTGCCATTAACAGATGTGTATAAGATAAAGAAATTCAGTGGATGCAGCCTTTATGATATCCCAGTGGTGTTTCTGCTTCTCTTGTGACAGTTAAAGACCTAGAAGCCTCTTGAAAATAAAAGGCAGCAGCTCTAATCAAAAACTTGTGACGCTTTTCTCTCCGGTTGCGTGTATGCTCAGAATCAATTGTGATCCAGCTCTTTAATTACACCCCGAACGGAATGTTTTGATAGCTCTCCCCACTCTAGCTACTTAGAGTTCAGGAAGAATTTGTTCTTAATTAAAAAAAAAAAAAAAGCAAGAAGGCATCAGCCAGTCCCTGGGAGAGTTAAAAATAATCACCTGCAGTTGAAATGGGACTTGGGAAGTAGGAAGTGCTGTGGCTCAAGCTTCCTGTATAAATAAGTATAGCTTTCCCACAGCTCTTGCATTTGTGTGGCAACATGTGCTTTAAAAGATAATGGTAACATGCTTCTAATAACAGGGAGGAGATTATTTCTCGTAGGGACGAGAGGAGGGGAGATGAGTGCACTTTCAAGCCTATAACGTGTAAAGCTTTCCCATGCAGCAAGAAAGAGAGACGGAAGGAAAGAAAGGTAGAAATGAAATGGTTTTATTTTTCAGTCTCTGAGCTCTTGCTGGCTGTGACATGTCTTGGAATACTGAAATGTGAGTGAAGCTGTTGAAAAGTCCGGTATCTAAGAGGAAATCCTTCTCTCCTTTTGTAAGTATGCCAGAAAGTCCTGCATTTCTTAAGAGCAAGGACTGTTAATTCAGGGCTATGTGTTGTTGTTTTTTTTTCATTTTCAGATGAGGGAGCTTAAACAGAAATCATGCTCTTCTAAACTTAAGCTGTAGATAGTGTAGTTCTAAGAAAAGTGAGACAAAAATATTGTTTTTAGATGTTCAGTGCCAGGGTTCAAGCTGAAACAAAATTATCTGTGTAAATATGTGTGTGTGGTTTTTGTGTGTGTATATCTCTCAAAAAGAATGATGCTGATTTGATCAGTACAGCATTTTAAAAGAATAATTTTATCTGTGGAAGATGAAACTCAGATGGCTAAGGCTACAGACTTATCCATTTGAAATGTAAACTTAACAATTTATGCAAAAAGATAATATAAAAGGAACTAATGAGAGGATCTGTTTGAAAACATACACATTTATTGTGGCTTTATCTGTATCTTGTCTGTGAAAAAAATCACCAGTTTATAGGGACATTGTATTTGTTCAGTAATTTTAGAAAGTACAATGGTAGGCTAGCAAATACTGAATGTGTAATATATGGAAGTCTGTCTTTTAACACAGATTACCGTTTTCTAAGCAGAAAATGAAATGTGTGTCTATATATTTATAGACATCTTTGAAATCATGTCCTTGTATGCTGGTCTTGGTGCAAAGTGGTTGTTTCTGCTTTGCCTTTGAAAGATTATTATGTGTCACCAAAGAGCTAATAAACCCTCAAGACTTTGAATTTCAGTTATGTACTTTGGAAAATTTGAAAAAGAGTTGTATAAAATGTGATTTCTGCAACATACCATGGTTTATTTCTGGAAATGTGTTTCAGTGACTTTGTGGAATCTATGCTTGTGGAATTTGGTTCTCTCACATTCATCTTAGCCTTGTTGAGATGACCCAAACTGAATGTATGCATAAGTAAGAGGGATTTGGTATCATACCTGCTGGCACTGTCACAATCTTCAGGCATTAATTGTAACCCCTGCTCTGAATGTTACCTGCCATTTCTGCCTAGTATAGAATATGTGTTCAGTATTTACTTTCATTGGATGAATGTTTGCATAGACTATTACTGGCAGAAACTCCGTCGGAAGCAGGGTTCTGGGTAAGGTCCTCACCCACTATTGTATGCTCCAATTTATTTGCTCTTGAAAATCAGTGCTTTCAAGGCTTACTTTATATCCATTTTTTCGGCACAAGCAGTCTTCCAACATAGAGTGGGACAGGACAGGTCTCATTACCTGGCAAATAAAGGGTCTGGAGAGGTAAAAATGACATTGTCTTGTGACCAGTTCTAATCACAACCAGTGGGACTGGAAACAGGTGAGACAGACTGATTGAAGGACTGGTTCTAGCTGACAGTTCAGGCAGGGTCCACAATAGATATTCTCCCAGTATAACCTTGCTTCTTGTCTTTTTTTCTGCTCTGAAACCAGTTGAATGGCAATCACCAGTAAACTTCTGGAGTTTAGTGTAGTTTCTGGCACTTCTTCAGATTTCCAAGGCAAGCTGAATACATACATTCTATCTGAGAACACGCCCTTTGTGAATATTACCATTAACTCTGGAACTTGGAACTTGCTTGTCCTACCTTCCTTGCCCCTGCGTGAGCTGGATTTTTTGAGCTTTCCCTATTACTCCATTGCTTTCAGTAGAGGCATGCTAATATTAGTAAGTTCCACACAGCATGGTAGTGACTAAAGATAAAATGACAAAGTGAAGTCCTTAATCTAGACCATAGACGTGCTAAGAACTTTGGAATATTGAGATATGAAGAGTGCTGACTTTTTCTGTTAAACTGTGGCTAATAGCCTGCAATTAGTAAACTTGACTGAGCTAATTTTCATTCAGGTGCAAAACTGAAAACTGGATTAGCTTTGCTAATTGTTCTGAATAACAAATGGGATTTTTTTTTTCTTTTTGCATGTGTTTCAGATTTGTGTTTATTTTGGTAGAACTAAGGGAAGAAAGCATGAAATGGAAAAAGACTGAAGCCTGTATGAACTAAGGGAGACATTGTTACAGATAATAGAATCATCGTTAAAAGAGGCCATTTAGGCTAACAAGTCCAACACTGCTCAGTGCAGGAATGCAAATTAAAGCATTCCCAGCAAATTGTTGTCTAGCCTCCACTTGAACATATCCATAACTGACTATGGAACCTCTTTTGCCTCTGAATAAGCCAAAAACAGCCTGGAATTTTCTCAAAAAGGGTTTTTTTTTCAGCCATGAGAATTAGAAACTCAGCTGAATTCTCTCAATGTGCTAGGCTAGAATTCTTCAGATTCCTAGTTTATTGATTATAAAGAAGAATGCTAGTGCACACTGCCTTATCACTGCCACCTGGCTCCTCCTGCTAGTGGGAGTCACTAAATTAAGACTTTAGAGGTCTTGAAAAACATAATGCTGTGGCTCAATCTGGACATTGGCTTCAATCTCCTTAAAAGTTTGATGCATAGAAACAACAGTCTTTAACTTATGAAAATAAGATACTAAGAACCCAACTGAGGTGAAGGCAAGTATTCTTAAACAATAAATCCATGAGTAATACAATATTTATTTTATTCTCTGTTGATGTTGCTGAACACAAGAGTCTGGGGATCCCCTGTACTTTCAGTCTCATTAAAAGGCAATTCTGAGTTTTGTTGACTAGTAGGTAGGTTAGCACTGTTCCAAATGTTGACTCAGTTGTCTGTGCCAAATAACTTTGTGCTGAAGTTCACTCTTTGTTTTTCATATATAAGGTATTTTAAGGAGGGACTTACTGGTCTTTACTCTATAGTAACGAGGAAGTATAAAACTAAATTTTAATTTGGAAATGATATGGCCAAGTATATTGGTTATGTTCCTGTCCTCATACACTCATTTGTTTGAATGCCAAAGCATAACATGCATGTGATTTTGGTTAAACTGCTTTAAGTTGTGGTACTTCCAAATTCATATATGAAGAATGATAGGCTAAACTTTCTATTAATATAATGAAAGCAGCCTGTAGCTGAATACTGTAGGAGAGATTGTATGAAAGGTTTTAAGCTGCAGATCATATTTTGGCAACTTTTGGGCTAAATGTCTTTTCCTACAGCCTCAGAACCCCCTCTTCACTTTCCTGTGAAAATTGGTGAAAATAAAGTGTGTCCCTGATTTTAGCAGCAAGCTACATCATCATCCAATTATTCTGTACACGTAGTCTGTTAGATTGCATTCTAATGCTAACGAAAGAGACGGGATTAAAGTGTTTTGATCCTATAATTTTTCTTTTGTTTTTCTTTCTCTTTAGTTGGCTTAAATTAATCCACCAAGCCCAGTTTTGCAGTTGGGGAATTTAATCAGAGTTTTACCATGTTTTAGAGCAGGGCAGGGTAACATTTTGGTGTAATTTGAATAAATGAGTGATTAATCAGCTAGAAAATTAGTTCTGGGGGATATTTTTGCCCATGCCTCTTTTTCTTTGGCCCTGCCCACTGTTTGACATTCAGTACAAGACTGAATGTGGCTCTTGGCACAAAGGAGCACTTGCAGTCTCTGCTTTGATAAATGTTCTTTTGTTCCATGAGTTTCGATTCTGTAAATCGGTTAGTGAACCTTAACAGTGTTGTTGACCTTTATCTGGAGACACTAGCGTTTATGATATCCACAAGACTTGGCATAGATAATAGTACATTCCTTTCCAATACCATGGTGCCCTGGCTTTCCTATAAAGATTTTCAAGGTTTAGTCCAGACTGAATTCAATGTTTTTGTTGTCTTCCTTCATTTTCCTCCACTTCTTACCACACTAAAGCTAGTGGAAATGATTCTACTGAACTTTGTGAGAAGAAAATTAAGCTACAACAGCCTTGAACATGGATTTTGGAAGGACAAGGACCTCTGCTCTTGCTTACTCCTGATGTTTTACAAAAGTAAAATTCTGTAGATCATTGAATTAAGCTTTTTATTTACTGCAAGGATCTTTGCATTGTTTTGGAGCTGTTATTGTTATCTTTTGTGTCTTGAGGAAAGAGGTGATGATGATCACAGAGAGGCATGATGGAATGGTAGCCTTACTTTTAGAAGCTAAAAAAGATTGCATTGTGATTTTATACCCAAGCTCACTCCCACTTAACAATATTGGCATTTCAATATTGGAAAGCTGAAGAATGGTTTATTGTTTTGTCTCTGTTCCTTTGCTAGTCATGGGGTTAATGAGGCAGCATTTAGAAATATACAAATATGAGTCATCCATTAAGAAGATTGATCTCCCTGGGAAAGAGGCAGCAGCATGTCGGTACATGGGCAATGTATTATTTCCACTTTAGGATGAAGTTAGTGACTTGAGAATGCTTGGGTATCCTATTCCTGCTCTTACGCAGTTAATTTGACTGCTTTTATGTACAGCTGGTCTTCTCCTGTCAGACTAATACAATTTAGTTTGCTTGAATGTAGCAAAACAGTGTTAGACCGTCTGTAAAATTTACCATTCCTTGATTGCCGTGATGATATAGTTACAATTGTATGTTTATTTTATTTCATTTGAAATGGAACTTATTTACTCACTTTATTAACTTACAGAATTCTGGTCAGTGACTGTAATAATGAACTATGCTATAGTTCTGCTCTTGGCTAGGCTGCACCAGGTGGAAATGGTGGCTGGAAATACTTTTTACCAGGATATGTTAGTATACCAGCTGCATCTTTTTATGGATAGGAATGATCTATTGTCAGTCTTGCCTTATTTTCAGATGCCATGTGCTCATCTTTAAAATGGATTTTCACTGCAATGACACTGCTTTTGAAAAGCGTTTGGAGGTATCTAAACTGAAGAGAAATTTTCAACAGGCATAGGACACATACGCTGTATAAGGGTGCTCCATGCAGAAACTATTAATACTACTGATTGAAAAGCATTTTGGATTTATATCCATTTTTTTTTATCCTCAAATGAGATAACTGTTGAATATGCATTTCAAAGGGAAGAATATATGAAATGCTGTTTTTGACTCAGGGTAAT